ACTGAGCAATCAAGCATCATGTTAGAGTGGGTGGCATAGTCATGATGCGGCTGTTTGCACAGTTGTTCAACTAAATAATAAACCAGGCAAAGGAAACGGAGGAAGATTTGGTTGTCCATTTACGGAATGTATCCACAGCAGCCACTTGGAGTATGGCACACATCATAAAGCTATTCGTGAGAGATTTAACAGTTCGACAATGTTTGTTTTATCATACAATCAACTGTAAATTTCTGGCCCAAAAACCAAACTTCTTTCTGTGTCCATTCTCCATTTAGTTACTTATTTAGCTCCAAATTGATATGCGCATTTAATATTATACGGTCTGCCTAGGTCTCAGATGAGGTACCGGCAAAGTATCCACCAGTTGCAGCATGTCGTGTTTGTGAAAACCGTTTTTGGATCTGCTGTATCCGGTGAGATTGACGGGTCGATGGTACGACTGTTTTTAATCATTTCGCACAGCTGCTGCAACGATAATGAATGGTTCCAATGTGAGGTCAAGATCAGGTCACACCCACAGGGATTGTGAAATTAATAGAAGTAGGGTGCATTAACTTAGAAAAACATCTGACAAAATACACAGATAAACAATTGCTAGCATCTAGGTTTATTCACCGACCTCACACTTCATTTTGACCATCAGTGTCTTGGAAATTGATGGCACGATCTTTTTCGTTTTTGCAGCATTTTTAAAAACAAAAACAAATAAGATGTTGAAAATATAGAGGAATCTTTTTAGATTCGTTGTCAAAAGTGTCACCTCGATTGGTGATGAAACGTCTGCAATCAAATTGCCCAGCTCAGCGAACAAGCCACCGACCATCCTGAATGATCATCAAGCTTATGTTCTACTTGAGCCTAAATTGTACGCTGTTCGCTAATTCTACCCTTTGCATACTAATTTGGTTTCAACTGGAGACCCAGCTGAATCTTTCGTTTATAATTTTCTTCAAATGAATGTGCTGCACAAAGTGCGTCTCACATTTCACTCGGAAAGGAGAATATCTGGTATGATTTCTACATTTACTTCTCCCGGAGATTCTGCTAGTAAGGTCTATCCTTCATTCATCATCCACTTCAAAACTGGCTTTTTAGTTCAACCGGTCAGTCCACCACTTGATATTTCCCGCCTGAAAGCTGACCAATAGATTATCGTTTTGAATAAACTCACTTTGCAACCCCCACAACACCGATTTATCCTCGCGTTGGCATAGCTTTCATTCTTTCAAACGTCATGTGACTCCAGTTCTCCGCCTACAGATCGAGGGGCTTCTTCAAATGCTGCTACATCAGTCCCACAACTGTTTGAATTTTGTTTGACACACCGACTGTGCGAACCAAATTACATGACAGCTGAAAAATTCCCGCGTTGGACTTCCTCAAGACACCATGTAGTTTAAGTATACAATATTTCACACACTTTGGGATGCACAAACAACTCGTTCATTGTCGATGATCGTTTTCCAATTAGGATTGCGTTGGATGCTGTATGAATCACTTCATTCCGAAGATGGTATTTTATGCAACCCTGGGCACTTCGTCTCAGAAAATTTTTACAGTGATAATAAGCAGGTATCATAATATCAGGGCATATCTACAAGTGACGGTTCATTGTATGTCCTTGTCTGTAGGAATCTGGGCACTTCATTACATACACAAATGCAGTAATCGCATTGGCACCGGGACCGGTGGATAAATTTCAGTCCGATTTCCACCGTAGCATCATTTCGTTGAGTGCTGTGCAGTTGCAGAATCGGTAAACACGCTGACGTCTTTAACTTATCTAAAAAGCATTGGGAACTAGCGACGAATTTATCAAATTTGGAACGTTAAATCTGAAAACGACACTGAAAAAGACACGCAGTAATCAAACCTATGAGCAGTGTGTTCTGCTTAGATATTACTGTTCTGTTTCCTAGGTTTTAATAAAAAGTACTGGATTCTATTCAGACCCATCTACTCCATCATCAGAAAATTATTTCCCTATTGCGAATACAGTTATTATTTATTAGGCAATTTTGTGATTAAATCGCTAATGCTGTTTCACTGCAAAAAATACAAGTGGGGTCTTCTTTACACATGTGGTGGGCATTACGGGGATTTACCCCCAGAGAAGCATTTCCTTTTGGCATGAGTCCCGCCAAATGAGTATGTTAGCGGCCCAGCCGACGGATGAACAACGAACCAACGAGATCTTTTTTCCAAAGAGCGAACTACCTCAGTCATAATTATTTATTAAAAGTCCTGGTTTCTTATTATGTGTATTTGCAGCCAGGATATGCGGAGGTAACTTGTAGCACTAAGGGCCTTTTTTGTCCCTGTTTGGGATATTTAGTTGCTCAGGAATGGCTTCGTATACCATCGGATGGGGTGAATTTTCATTGCCCACAATTTATCACATATAACAAACTGTAAGGCGCATCATGTACTGGAGGCGTAAGATTGCGATTTAAAAAGGGCTCGCAGATTAAAGATTAGCGAGTAACCGGGTCAAATATAGGACAAACGTGATGTGCTGCCTGTTTTTGTCGGAACTTTCCAAAATATTGAGACAGCGGATGAAACATTAGAATTTCCGGGGATGTTCTTCACAAGACAATATTCTTCCTAATAGTTAGCTTTTGGATGCTTGCTAAGAAAGGAAACAGAGAACACTGTACCACAAGGTCCAATATGCCTAGAAATCAGTTAAAGAGACTAGAAAAGCAAGAAAACTTCATTTTAGTATCAGTAAAAGCAAACTGAAGAGCAGTGCAGAGACATGCATGGGAATAGATGCTAAACCCTGTGATTAACAGTAGGACTATATTTTACAGCTTAAGGTAGAAAATCACACAGTTTGAGGAACAACAAAATCATGAATTTTGTAATCTCAAGATATAATGTTAGACCGCTTGGATCCGGCTGAATAGGAAGATGCAATTTCTTCGTGGAAATTCAGAAGGCTCCACTCATCAGTAGTTGGCTTCTGGTACATCTGGATGAAAGGAGAACTGTAAGGTTGCATCATCACTTGAGTGATACCGGTCAACCTAGCTGTAAAACAGACTCATTTTACCGCACTGTGGGCACAAATAGATGTGCAGTTGATGGCCAATGACAACTGGATATTACATAGTAGGTGACATGAGCTTTACAAAACGTGATGATATATCCGCATTTTGTTTGTCTTAAGCTCTCGGTGATGGCCATCACTAAACGACCACTGATCGGTTTCTTCGTCAGATTCATTGGAACTGCTCGACACAAACTGTATAATAAGGCCAGATTTCTGTCTTTTCAGCGGTATATCTTCTCCAAATACATAACTGCATTGTGAATGGTCTTTGTTTTAGTGAGCCTCAGTAGCATCAGCATAGCCTTATTATGAAAAGGATCGGTTATGTGGTAAGACCACTTTGTTACTATTATTCTTCAGTCCACATCACTTGTTTTTTTCACCAAAGGATGTTTTAGCATGCTTCACTCAATATTTGAATGTCAGATGCGCAACCCTCTGTTTCCCACAGATAATGTCACTCACTTTTCACTCGGTGATGCCCCAAACATGAGAAATTCGTTTTGCGATGCCTAACACACGTGAAGTTGAGCTAGAAAGCCTCACACCAACCCAAAGTACCTCCGAGCAGTACCACGCCATTATCCGGATCGATGAAAAATAAAGGTGTGTGTACGTGTGTGGCGGTAAAGAGCTGAAGCAAACTTCAGTACAAGGACGTCAAAAACAAGTTTGTCTAGCACCCAGGCTACCGGACAAAGATCACACTACTTTGGGGAACCAGCTTAATTTCATTGGTTTGCAACTCAGAAAGGGACATGATATATGTGCCTGAATAAATCCTCTCATGTTTTTGGTGCCACATTCTAGCTACTCGATTTGTGCACAGAAATGTTCACAAATTTAAGCCAGCTCCACAACGGGCTGTAGCGAAGTTCGAAAAGCTTACATCAGCCCTGTTCACAGGTAGACTGATCTTTCGACTTGAAGGATAAGGAAGTTCAGAGTTCACCTTAACCAACTAACTGTCCTAGATTTTCGAGCTTGTACAACTGCATTCACTTTCTGGTGTGGTGAATCGTATGTGATCCCAACTATTGATAAACACTAAACTACTGTGCCGGTCGACAGTAGTAGCAGTTGAACCTGGTGTTTGTTACCATAGTTGTTACAAGGCACTTTAAATTATTAATCAAAGCAATCTAGTTGTAGAATCTCCTTCACAGGAGTATCTAACGTTGTGTTTTGTTTGAAACTGCACATGTTTCGTTACTACGTCAGGTTCATATTGTGTATGCACACGGGGATTAAGAAGGTTTACGTCATCTGGGAAAGGTAAACCGGCTAACTTCCAAGCAGTTAGTGACATTAACTCATCTAAACTTCCAGAAAACCAAATGAATATTTTTGTAGTGTAACCTCCCATCATGATGCTGATACTTCCAGTGCATTCTAAGGCGGTAGTTCAGTCCGCTGGTCACTTGATACATAGTAATGAACAGAACCGTCTCAGATCCGCACAGAAAGTATGTTCGTTATCCATCGCTGCTTTGTCTCACTGACCTCTATTTGAACTATTGGAAAAAAGTGCCTACCTATAACTGGACAGTATATTGTATTCCTTTCTTTGAGCTGCCTGTTTTACCATAAATGGCGTATCCATGTTATTGCTTGCTGACTGAGTTGGTAGATGACGTTTAATGGCGATTCAGATCAAATGGGCTGGTATATATAAGGGTAAAACACATGAAGTTAGCTTCTTCAGTAACAAAATGTGCCTATACAAACCTCTGTAATCTACCAGAATGCCTTGGTTTCGCAATACGTACTGGGACCAAATTGCCTTGAAGTTATCAATTATCACTTACTTGGTGACGAAATGCGTTTAATCTTCAACGACTTTTCACTGGAATATTCTGAACTTGAGCTATCTCGCCCGTTGTTGACAAATTTGTTTGTTTTGCAATTGTTTACACAATCTTGTTTGCCCAAAATTTAGACCTGAAAATCGCTGCAGTAGAATCATTCGGTGGTGATCCTTTTCTTGCTCCACCTTGGAATGATGTGGAGCGCGAATCTAAGCACTTCTTGGTGCCAGACTCCAGCTTGTATGTCGTGGAATCAGATGATGGAAACGGTCTGGTTATGTCAGCAAATGGGGGAATCATTCAGCAGTTCAACATTCTGGATCCCTCGCAATGTCCCTGGCTTATGGAGGCTTGTCCAAAACGTGAGTTACTTACTAGGCTGTTTTCATGTCATCAGATTGTTGTGAAACAAACCATGCAAGAAAATGCCATTGCATGAGTGAGTCAAAGATTGCATCTTAGAAACTTCTTCATTAAAGCTTGTTCTGTCACTTACCAGATAAATCGAGCTCTTCAAGGAGACCGAAACTTCAAAACGTAGTTTCAGTACGAAAAGCAACTTTATGAGGTTTTACCCAAGACTTACTGGAAAACGGTTAGTTTCTGATGCGAAGAGGGGAGATAACGGTCGTGAGCTGTCGAAAAGTTTTCAGCAACATTGTGATAAGTCAATGCGCCGCTTTTCCTGCTCACACAATTTCGATATAGCCTCATTGTTTAGAAATGATAACTAGGAACCGGAAACACATCCAATTCTATCTGGACTGTCACAATTAAGCCTGTGTTTTAGCCACTGTTTGTATTTAATTCCTCACTGAATGCCAGGCAAACTTGTTGGAATCGTAAACAGTGGGAATTGTGCTGATAATGAATTGAATGCATTATCCGTCAAAAACTTTGACGATCGGTTTCAAATAAATCTGGCGGATGAATGTAGTTTTGGCATGCTTCGAGAAAGATTGTATCAGTATTTAGTCAGTGAGCATTTGTGGGCAAATACTCAGTGAACCACAGAAGGAAAAGGAGGAAAAGATGCGAACAGACTGATATATGAAAATTTTACAGTCAGACATGATCTTCGGTTTCCAACTGCCAAACTAATGAACTTTCGAACGGAAACGGGGCACACCTGTTTCCCTCACAGTAGGTGATCGATTCATTGGCTTCGCCTCATTTCAATCTAATTCAAAAAGTGTGTCCGACTAGTGGAATGCGTTCACTTTGAAATTAGCTAACAAAATTGCAACGCATTGCAGAGGAGACGCAGAGAGGAATGGATAACACAGTTCACTACAGAATGACCCTGTAAATTTACATGTTCGTTTGTTTAATTTTTAAGGCGAAAGGTCGCTTCGTAACGCGCGTTCTAAAACGACTAGTATTAAGGATTTATCCGTGTTAAAAAGAAAAGTACGCCCTTCACATGTACATATGTTGGAAGACTCATCAACTCCTTCTCCAGACCGTACTTCATGAAGACCTCTTCAGCTCTCGAACAGGTGAAGTGGCTACCAGCATTGCAACCTAAGTGGAGCTGAATTCTCGAAAACTGATCGCCGTCGCTCGTTTTTACTTCCACTAGTTTTGATGAGACATTGATTGTATTGGCGTTCATGGTTCTATAAATCGATTGTTATTTACATGTTCTGTAAGCTACCGCTCTCACTTTTTTCAAACTACAGACCAATTCGTCATTCAGTTCGACATTCAACCAATCTGGCAAGGTCGTCGGGATGAGAAATCCAACGTTCTCACTTTACGTACGAGACAATCGGTTAAAAATCCAACTATTTGGGTCGTTCAGTTTGTGATGCCCAACTCAACCACGCTTTCAGTCAGCTTTTACCCTGCGGACCAAATGAATCGACAATGCCCCATTTTCCCCCCACAAAACCTTACTCTATCTCCTTCCGGTTGGACGCGTGTCATCGCACTCATTAGAGCCAAAACTGGAGAACTGACGCTGGATAAACAACAAATGCCTGATGAGCCGGCACCCAGTGATGCAAGACGCGCCTCCCTGTTACATCGTAATTGGAGAAGTTTGGCGTCACTCCTCAGGGAGATCCCAACAAATAGGTTGGGTACACTTGAAGCGATGGATTTTGGTAAAGATTCCTATGTTCGGTATGATTTCAAAAACCGGCTAAAAAAGACCGCGGATCGTGAAGAATTATCAATCGAGTTTGAAGTACCACGAGGCATCGAAAATGGGCTTATTTGGTTTGTGGAGAACAACGCATCGAAAAGCTTTGTTTATCTCAAGGTGAGCTTGAACTTGATGGCTTTCTTCTCATATCATTAGTTTAAGTAGCAATGAAAATATGTTTTCAGTGTGATCAGTATCAGTGCATTCCTGGTTTTCTCTCCTGAATACATTTCTTCTGGACGTTGAATAATCTGGAGCTGGTCGAAACGAACATATTCCGGAGATAATTCCGCAATGTTCCAACGTGGAATTCGAAATTTGCAAGAACTGACTGTATTTGTGTGACGAAGCAAATACGTCTTTCAGTATCTTGACCTTGACGTCTATTTTTTAAAGTGCCTGATAGCAAACAATAAAGTTCCGGCTGCAGACGTAGAAGAACGTACCACAGAATATGCAAAAAGAAGGAAACATTCCAGGTGAAGGCGTGCATTATATGATTTTCACTTAGGCAAATGATCTCCAACGTATATAAGTGTCTTTAGGATGGGAACACTTGTAAAGAGCGATAGCCTAAGAAAGGGCGAACAATGTTCAACGCTGTTTAAGGCGCACTGAATTTTTACCATGCATAAAAGTGTCATGAGTAGTAGAGTCCCAAAGGGTGATCAGATACAAGCCACCGACTGTGAAATTAGGATTTTCGATCCAGCAATACTCTTTATGGATTGAGGAAGATATATGTGAAAAAAATCAACCTCATAGTAGATTTCACGTTGGCCTGAGAGGACAGCAAGCGGACGATTCTTAACACCTTGCTTCTGCCACTTCTATTTCCACCCAAGATCTCCGCCTATATCAAGAACTTCATCTATCATAACTGCCTGACGCTCCTGAACAGCGCCCTCAACACTTCAAAATCGGTGTATCCCACGTGACGAAAACTTTTCCCAAATTCCCTTGAAACCGGATTGTGACGAGCACATTGAGCATCATATCCTATCCGAAATGGCTGCGCAGATATCATAGTATTTCTGTTGGCTAATTCCAAAACAAAAAAGTATGCTTGTAAGCTCAGTTTCTTCATCCGATAACGAAATTCATTGCTAATTATTCGTCACTTGTGATGAAAAGATGGACGTCCTCCACGACGGAGCTGTTTGTGAGTGAGAACGCGCTAACTACTTCCAAGCCATTAGACGCGAAACTATATATCTCATCTGAATAGAGTTTTTGAAAAAAAACATTCTTCCGGTGGTCTTGAAAAAAAACATTCTCAAGTGTCCACTTGAACTTCCCTGGGCGTTCTTTGAACAAGTACAATGGAGTGTTTCCATAATTTCCGTGCTACCCCTCTATCAGATGCGGAGATGGCGCTTTGACACCTAACCAGAAACTACTTGCATGCTTTCATTCACAACCATTCTTTTGGTTATTTCATGTTTTGAAAGGAATCATCGGGTGTATTGCCTGTTTATGTAGAAAAAGCATTGATTGAAAATACCTGCCTACTTTTGTCCACCGCTCATTTTTGGTGCCACCTCACGCTTTTTCAATGTTCTCACCGCAAGGTCTAAAGAAGGTTTTGCAGGTTTCCAGCTGTTCAAGTACAATAGGGATATTCAATGCCTTTAGTACATTGTTTTGTCCGTATCTTGGCATATGGGACTGGTGGCTTAGAAAGGCATGCATCCGTCTCCCCAACGTGCAAGCAGTCTCTCTCAATCCTAACAAAAAATTTGAGGCTTGTTTTGGTTGCTTGATCAATGTGTCCTTCAGTGAACATTTGAATCTGTTGCAGCCTTGATTCTATTTACTTTTCATACAGAGTTTGTTCTTAACGGTTGGTTTTGGTAACCGCCCACTATTTGGAAGATCACCTACATATTGCATAGCTTTCTCGATTGCCTATTCTACGCAGCTGAAATGTAGACTTCTTTCCGGACACTGAACTAGGATGAGCTAAAGCTTCAGCCTCAAACAAACATAGCAGGAACGTACTCGGTCTAGTACAATGCGGCGTTAGAAAACTAGAAATGTACAATAACCTTCTACTCAAAAGCTTAACAACGACGGAAATTCAGAATGAACAGAAACACAGCTGAGGCTCAGAACAAAATGCAGGGCTAAATGAGCTTTACTAGGGGGTCTAGATTATGCAGGTGCGCGAGGCACTTTGAAACTGCCAATGGCTTCAGGAAACAAGTTGATAGCAATCAGCCTGCCATACATTCATGCATAGATGCAGCCGGAGAAATCACTCATATACTCGAATGGCTAGTGGATGCCGGCTCACTGGGTGACGTGAAGTGACTAAACAATCACTAAAATGGAGACAAACGGGTTTACAAGGTTCAACTGTTCTAGTTACCATAATCGAGCATATTGATAATCCCATAATTGAAGCTGTCTATAAATATATTCGTTTTTATGGAAATTTGCTGCCCTCGTTCTTTCTGGAAGGAAGGTGCTTGGTGCTACACTCCCCCATGGAAGTGAGCAGGAGTTTAGTTTCATGTCGCTGGACAAGTATTGGATAAACAGCCTTTAGCCCAAACTTCCGGCACTCTAAAGACGCTTACCTTTGCTATGAACGATTCCTGGGCCTCTAAATTTGCAGAGGCCTAGAAAGGCTCAGCTTTCCCGCATCGATGTTTCAGCGAATTTGTATATACTATTTATATGGACTGGTAACGCTGCTCTTTTTCGTTTAAAAAGCTTGAGAAGCTTGAAAAATCTCAGAAAATCCCACGGACGGTCTAGTTAAAATTGGCGATCTCCTGTGCAGTGAATCATTTCAACTTTAGAGATCTCTAAGAGTGTAGTCAGTCCACAACAAATATCATCATCATCATCATCATCATCATCAGCTGTAAGAACAGTATATCTGTCGTATATTGGTTATAGCTGTCACAGGTTTGTTCATCAATGATTTGGGGAGTGGGGGATAGCTGCGCATTGGATCGGGCAGCTGATATAATTGACACGTAAATAAAGGGTTGTCAATGGACGTTTAATTGAGGAGATTGGGAAGGGAGCTATGCATTTAATGCAATAACTTGGATGCACGAGTGCCACTGAGGGCGCGACTGGGCCATGTTGGAGAATATTTCTAATCATTGGTGTGCTTCGCCTCGGTGTCCCCATCCAAGGAGACGGCAATGACAAGCGCAGTTAAGTTTATTTCGCTGTTAAGTCATTTTTTGATCTCCCCTGGATCGTTTTACGTGGTTCTTCAAAAATGACCCTTCGAGGAAGTTGGCCGACTGACATACGAAGCACGTGGCTTGGCCAGGGCAGCCTGTGGAGTGTGACCAGTTCATCTATCGTGGGTTATTTCTTCAAAAATGACCCTTCGAGGAAGTTGGCCGACTGACATACGAAGCACGTGGCTTGGCCAGGGCAGCCTGTGGAGTGGACCAGTTCAATCTATCGTGGGTGAGTTATTTCTTCCAAAAAGCCATTCGAAGTACTTCACTATTGCTGTGCCTAACTGATGAGCCCCAAGACAAACGAAACAGGCCGTGGGCTGTTGAAGTGTTTCCAGCAAACTCGTGGGTAATGTATTACGTCTATACAGACGCAAAAACCTTTTCTACGCGCACCTGAGACTATAATTTTTTGAGAACGTCATCCTCTAAGGGTAGCATAAAAAATTTGGTCATCACATAGCACATAATATACCACCCTACCGATTGGTATCATTTACAGTCAGGATATTCTCATCAGGTTATTGCCCTCTTCACCCGCTTTTCCAGGATGGTCGCCTGCACTACACATTTTTGTTTGTGGATCGAACAAGGAGCGCCCAACTGACGTTGACTGAAGAAATTTACCTGAACACACCATTGCAACCTGATACGCCACATCTCCTCTCATTGGTTCGCGACCGAGATAACGTGAGTCAATTTTGACTATCTAAAGGTACTCATATACAATAACCCCACAAATAACGAACCACCAATTTAATTTTTTGGAACTAGGTTATCATTGAGGCAAGTAACTGTTTGGGTGACTATCCAAATCGTTTGAGAAATGTGCTTTTAATTAATAAATATATAACACTCCTATTTGTCCGTACCTCAGGTAACTAGAACATTCCTCATTGGTCAATTGTGTTTACGAGTTTTTGGTGCACTTTGCTAGGCATATGACCGAGATTCTCGAGATAGAGGCGGGTTTTATTATACTTGTGAGTTTATCACTTAAAATAACTTAAGCCTTACAATTAAAACTTCATGTACCTATCGGACACAAGAACCCAGCCGTCTCTGCTGCGCCGCCATGTTAATTTACCCTTTGACCAAAGGTGCATAAACCAGAATGGCGTGTGATAAACTTATTTGCATATCCATTTTGTTTTAATGGAAGACTCGACTAGATGCCGACTTAAACTTGAGGTTAGGATTTCTTCACTCGAATTCGCTGCAAGAGCCGCTTCAGGTTCGTATAATGACTTTATCTTGAAGCAACTCCGCTCTCAAGGTTTCTGAAGGCTCTTCGACACCCCATGGCCGGTTTTGTGCACCCATTGGAAACTTACCTTATGAGGTTTACTACGAAACCTGTGGAACTGCTTTGCAGCGTTCGATTACAATCTCGTGGTAGTTAATGAATATCCACGCAAGTTCACGCGCGTGGTGATGATGATGTTCAGTTTTCAGAAATAAGATGCATATGAAATTTTTACTTTCCTGTTGAACAGTTTGTGACCGTCTAATTAGCGTTCGCTAATAAACAACTTCGAGGCGAAGGGAATTCCTCCTTACAATAGTAGTAAACACACCCCCAATACAACTTTCACCATATATTCTTCACCACGCGACCAGTGATGCTAAAATGCTATAGCAAGGCTATTCTACAAACCGCTCACAGAGAGATAATAGTTGACACCGAAAAAAGTATGCGGCAGTATTGTAGTCAGATGAAGTTTGGTAACGATTAAGAAGTCATGCTTCCAGTGGGAATTGTGAAACCCACCGATTGTTTAACAAACACTTCTGAAATAAATTCGGCATACATCTTTAAGCTTATGGTAAGAAAACTATATAGCTGGACAAAACAATCTAGCGGAATCGCGTGTGATAACTGCCTGAAGTATACACCAAAATAACTTTTGATCTGCGTATCAACGGATCCTTTATTCCTATGGTACGGACCAAAATGTATTGCTCCATAACAAAAGCTTGTTTTGAGCGTAACACACCAGCTCGGTTCGGCGTCATGTGGCTAATGTACTAGGTTTTGTTTTTAACCTGGGCTGAGGTTTCATTCGTCGAAGTTGAGATTGGGGGCACCTTTTCTCTTTTCTACTACTTTTTTCATGTCCGTATTTTTCACTGGTGTGTTGTTGATGTTTAGCTGTATGGGTCGAAGAGGATATTTTGTAATTACGATGTTTTACTGACAATTGTTTATTATTGCTTATTATTTGGCCCTTTTCCGTGCTACAGTTGACGTTGACTTTAAACGAACGCAGTCATGCGAGCAAACATATTGATGGCCGAGTCCCATTAGTTCCTAGTGACGGAAATGCCTATTTAGGAGGGTCACAAAATCCCGCAAGGGATACTGCTGGAAAGGTGACGGAAACGTTTCGTGGACGCATTACAAAGGTTAGTATTAACAGTTGAAGTTTAATTTAATTATAGCACACTGTTTTATTATTGTCATGTCACCGCGTAGATTTTTCAGCATGGGTTTTACTCAGAGTTTATTTTCCTCCGCTTTCAGGCTCAAGTTGCTCGTGAAGGTGACAAAAAGGTGGATCTGTTGCAAGTTGCGACTGATCGCCACTGGAATGACTCTGTGGTGAGATCCGGTGGTGTTCGGTTCGAGATAAAAGAACCGAAGGTCAAACTGGTGATTGGCCCAACTGCTTCCAGACCACTTCAGTCTGGTTTTTCCGCCGGAAGTTCCCCAATTGGAATGGCGTTATCTCGAGAACCTGTTCAAATTTCCTTCCGAGGAACACAGAACTCGGTAGTACGGTTTGATACATGGGACTTTGTCCTTTACCGATCCTTTGAAATCGAATTCGTGACCTACGAGCCAAATGGCATCTTATTTTTTGTGTAAGTGCCCTGCTACTAAGAGCCAGGTTCTTAAAGGAATTCATCACTTTTTACAAAAACTTACCACTTGGGCCATTTCATTATTATCAGGAGTGGACGGACACATGATCCGTTTGCCGCCAGTTCCCAGCCACCGCCGTTTAAAGGGTAGCCTTTTCAGTGACTTCTGCTATTAGGCACCCCACGATGATGGATTAGGTGCAACACCCGAACTTTTAACCACTAGCCCACAAGCTTACGTTGACAACAAACAGTGCAAATGTAAACAAGTCGCGTAATGGCGTTTGCCTCAACCTCAGTTCAAACCAAATATGCTGCTGTGAATTCGTTCATGCCGGGTTAACCATTTGTTGGCTCTGAGGCTTGACACTTGGTGGTCTCAGACGAGTTGGTCACGTTTCGTTGGTTATACTCCTACTTGCGCATCCATTCACTTGGGATGACACAAAGTGAGTCTGTGTGTGAAAGGTTGTATTTCATACTTTCATCGGCACTAATTTATTTTTGACAAGGACTCAGCTACATAAGGCGAATCTTACGCTTATAATGGTCTTTAGTAGGAGTATTTGGCGAATTCCGTCCCGCCTGGGTTGAAGGTTGACGGGAACTTAGAGACTGCGTCTGCATGATGAACCTGAAAAAGGGTAAAATTGGTAATGAGTTGTTCAATGGCTTACAGTGCTCCCTTGAGTAGCGTTTTGTCCCTATTGTGTCCTAGTTTTCAGTAGCTTTTTATTCTCTTGTTCCCTCAAGTCTATGCAACTATAGAATCATCGGAATTGGGGCGTCATGTTGATCCTAACAGACATTTGCCCTAAAAAGAGAAAGTTGTTTTTAGGAACCACCCATATTTGTAGTGAATGGCTTAGAGATCCCGACTACCTGGGGGTGGCCAAGCGGATACTTCCAAGCTACGTCGAACCCAGACCGGTGGTTTAAAAATGTATTTCATGGGGACAGAGTTCGCCCACAATATCAGATCGTGGAGAAACTGTTGGTCAGAAAACAAGTATCGAATGATGACATTCTGGCTGGTAACGTGTGAAACTGGGCAGTAGTGCATTTTACCTGCTGCTGCTAATGTACAGAACTCTAAAGCCTCTGAAGTAATGGATAATCCATCTTGTCATTCAAGCATTCTACTCAAGGTTGTTCAGGGACGCCCTTGGTAAACTGATGTCTTTCAATCACTCAGAATAAGGGACTTGCCATAGGTAATTAAACATTTCGAAGGGCAGCTCGCTTGAAGGAAAGCAAACAAATTATATCGAGACGGCTCTGTAGTGACGGATGGGTACAAAAACACTGTGTTAATCCTCGGTGTTTATTCCAGACAGAATCGACGCAAAACACGTGGAGCTGGAGAATTCGGTTATTTCTAGATCAACTCTAATACAGTGTCCACCATGCTCACAATCTCTACAAAGGGATTTCAGAATAACTGTCAATGACCAATGATGTTCAACTGCTGTGGTAGTGTTGAACATTCGCTCAGACATCTACACTGATAAGGCTTTGTTTATGAGCCTGGTTGTATTCTCATATGAATTACTGTCTTTATCGTTAGCCAAAGATCCTCCTATGACTGTTAGTAAGTAAGCTGCTGGCCCTCGGTTAACCGTACTTAACGCTTCGCTACAGCTTGCTTTTCCTCGTGCTTCGTAGAATTTTGGTGAATAAGCGTTGCCTCTCGCCTAGTCCGAATCTCCTCGACGTTTTTGCTATTGTGATGAAAGTTGCTTTCTTTTTTCTCATCCTCGGTTCCTTTTGTAGGGTAGAGCAGCAGACTGCCTTTTTATATACTGCGTTTTACAAATTCCATAAAATGTTTAATGGCGACGTTCATGTTCAGGACAACTTTGAAGTTTATTCGTTAATTTGCAAAGCATAGATCATGTATTTCCAGGTTGCCAGAGTCCTTGTTAAGAATTACTTGTTCAGGTCTTTTGGTTATATTGATCCACTAAGAAGGCTGGTTTCACGGAGGATTCAACGATTCTACCATTGATTGAGGCCAGACTCGAGGTTGATCATAGTTGCCGAAACCTGTTGCCAAAACAGGTGTTATTCTCTGTGGGACCCAACGCGTCAGCTATTGTACACATGAACGTTTCCACTTGTTTCGGAATGTTTCTGGGTTATAACACCTCTAACTATACTAGTTCACACAGTCCGCTGCGCTCGACGTTGAAAAATATCGATCAGTTGGTATTGCAAGTGGCTGGTATTTTGACGATATTCCACTTGCCTGAACTTGAATGCTGATCAAAAGTATGGGGTTGTTTTAGCTGATGTTCCAAAGGTCCGCTACCTTGGTATGATGCTTAAGTCATTCATTTGCAATCTCTCCACAGTAATAAGCCAGAAAGGTGGATACAAATACATTTGGCTCCCTTCCACCGTCATTGTAAATCAAATTCATGAAACCACAATTTTTGGCCGATTCATTGTAGAACCTTTCAGTAGTGAACTCTTTCAGAAATGATGGCATTACAGGAGAGATCTTATTCCATGAGATCTGCATGCAGACGGGAAACCGTATAATTCAGCTTGTGAATCCATGTAAGTACTTCAGAGATAAGGTAAATGGGTAGGAAAACTTCATTTCTCAGTTCTTCTTAGACTAGCGTTTAGGAACAACCAATCCCAGAATGCATAGACCTTGCGAGACACGGAAGTATATTTACATGATGGATTCCCTAGTGAAAACGAGCTTGGACTGTAATCCTCTGCAATTCGTTTGTCTGAATGTTCCACAACTTTGCCAACGGTGCCAGGATTAAACCTTGGTATTGTAATATGACTCAGATATAAAGTGAGTTTTACTGTGGTAGATGCTAGACGGAATACACTTTGTGATAGTTACGGAAGTGGATACACGAGTACTTGAGTTTTCACCCGTCCAGCAGCACTGCCATGTCCACTTAGATCGGGCTTCTTGACCTCATCATGAATAGAAACAAAGGAGTGAACAAACCGGTTGGTTAACAGACTTGAAAGAAGTTGTGCAGTTGCTTCAATTTCAACAATGGTACCAGCGGAAACAGGTAGCACGTTTGAGAAAGAAGTCACATTTTGGTACAGTGAGGTAGAAAACCCTGATGTTTTTACAATATTTTGGTGTGTACGATTCGGAGAACGATTACCGCTTGCCGCAAAGCTTCCAGTTAAAACCCAGTTTGAATCTGAGTTCCAACAGCATCTAGTTTGGTTTTGCCTCTCTGTTGTGTGCTTGCCTACCGGGCCGCGAACTCTCATCCTTCTTCTGTTCAAACTGCTCATTGGCTAACTGAGGTACACCAATTTTTTTGTCGATTTTAGTGGTCCAGATCGTGAACACACTGATTTTGTTTGCGTCGAATTGTACGACGGCAATGTTTACTTTGTCTATGCCGTTGGTGATCATTTTCGGCATATCCAACTCAATCCGGACAATATGAAAGTCAATACGGGCATGTCGAACCGTGTCTATGTGTCGCGAAATGAACACCATCAATTCTTGGTAAGAAATTGTTACCTAAGAATTTTTCTATTTCATCCACGTGGCGAGATCACGGAAATACGAATAATCGTGTTTATGCGGAACCCCTCTTTTGCATTTATCTTTCACATTTAAGTATCCGATTAGTCATCGGTAACCGATTAGTATCGGATTAGTCACATCAAGTTGACCATAGTTTATCTAGCAACATTCCTTACAACTGCCCTGCTCGAGTGATCGTACGAGGCCACAGAAGCTATTTCCCTACTAGAAGTATTGTGAAACTGAGTGGAGCTCATCACTTAATTAAGTGTTGAAGCAATAAGCTTGTGAATTATTCTGCTCATCCACGGAATCTCCTTGGTAGATGTTAAGGGACAGCCTACCACTAACAGGATTTCCGGAAGCAGGTTAGTCAAAATAAGTGTACGGTTCTTCCTTACTTTAACTCTCGGTTCCCTAACAATTCAGCTCCGTGGGGCCTTTCCCGCATTTGATACAAATCGGTTTGATATAGAAAAAGTCCTCCATGTGACTCTTTGTCTAAGAGCCTCCAGCTGTGGGCCACAGCAGGACGCACCTCCAAAGCGTGTTGCACAATCAGAGCGCGTCTGCAATAAGCAGATGAGTGCGTCGTGACTCGAGGAGTTTAGAGCCTGATGATGCAATTAGTAATAGGGTATTTTCAGACAAATAATCTTCAAAAGTTAATTGTGGAAGTGTTGAAAACACTTTGGCGGATAATTATTATATCTCATACTTATTTTTTGATACAATTGTCTGGTTTTTGAGATGTTTGTAGTCATAGACTGGTCCCAGTGTTCTTGCAAAGGTAATGCTTAACTCAGAGTTCTGTATTATAGTCCCATACAACATTTCGGAATTTTTTTCGGTTAAGTCACGTAATTGGGGATCTGTGCTTGAAACTTTATAAGAAGACTAACAGTCACACTAATTGTCAGTGTGTCGCAATATTGGTAGCTCTGATTTGTTTACTGGTGGATGATCAGACGGCTGCTGTTTTGTTCGCTGATCCTGGCGAAGCTAGGTAGACCAATTGTGAAGTTCGTCGAACAGAACAACGACCACCTGACCAGCCACCAGTGACATCGTTTATCAGTTCTTCTAAAGTGACTGATAAAGTTGTCGGTGGCACTTTTTCCATGGTCAACATCTCCAGCTGTTGTTGCGGAAATGTTTCCAGACGTACAAAGAGTCTTAAGTTGAGTAACGAATGAATTAGGTGACCATGGTTCTTCAAATTTAGTAACTGAAATCTAAGCTGGATATTCTAATCGACGTTGGCTAAAATACACCAGTTTTTCACGGAGCTGGCTATTACGCTACCTGTAAGCCACTTCCGTAACCAATTACTAGAAAGAATGGACGGATAAGATTAGATTATTGTCTCTTATTTTCGCTTTGGAAAGGTACAGAACTTACCATAGTTACCGAAATGTCGAGGTTTATAAACGGCGTATGGTCATGTGCACACTATCTCGAGGTTAAACAATAAATAGAATAGAATATTTAGACTAATAAAAGTCTCTGCGAGTTCAGACTTGGGATCTTGTTAGCTGCATGTTTCCCGGAAAACTTATAGCGGAAGTAACCTCTGGAGTGTTCCTTATCGATAAGCTTGAGGAAGCTCAGTGGTTAAGACCCAAAAGTACTGCGCGGAAGGTCTGCGGTTTGAACCCAACCTCAGCAACTCAACTACTCCTGTCTAGGCTTGAGCAATCTGAAGGCATCTTATTCCCCGTTCTTACTTCGGATGACCTGGCAGCTAGGCACCGATAGAGTGTTATAGCTGAATGATTACCACACTATCACAGTGTCAAACTTTTTCTCTCACAAGCGGAACTTCACTGTATTTTTGTTCCGACTAGTTAACTTCTCATTTCGACCCTAAAATTTCTCTGATAGACTTGGCATATTTCAGCGCAACCTTGAACCATCTCAACTGTATTCCACTCTCAGGTGAAGTTCAATGACCGCATCGTGGATGTGGACCAGGGTAAAACTGCCCACCAAGCTGAGTTTGCTACCTACACCTATATTGGTGGTGTCGATCATTCTAGTCGGCTTCCCTGGCACGTTTGGTCCAGAGAGAACTTTGCTGGATGTATCCCATCAATCCGAATTAATGATGACAAGTTTTTGAAGGCCTCATCGTAAGTAAATTTTTCTGTTTAAATGTTCATCTCCCTAGGATAGTGGTCAATATAATAAGATCAGCAGTGACTGGGTGTACGATACCGATATCATACTTTCTAAGGTACTCCCAAATTCTTCAAATTCATGGTCAGGACAAAGTGGGACTACTCTTTGTGACCTTTTCAACCTCCCGACTCAACAAATTTTAGTGTCGCGGCCCACCGATGTAAAAACTGCATTGCGTAGTCTGTTCAACATGGGAAATTCGGAAGGTTTTCGTGATTGCAAGCATAAGTACTTGGTTCAGCTTCGGACTGCCATTCAATGTACGCTCAGGTAAAGTATCGGTTTCACACTATGACAGATTCTTCCACAACCTTCCTGGTGCCTGCTATCTTACTATGCCTTATAGTTGCGAGGTAACTTTTATTCCGAGGGGATCTCTGTTCATAGTGTGGACATTTCAGTAAATGCCCTTGACCTGGCTCCTGGCCAGAAATGCGTCACCACTGAATAAAATTATTCCCTTTTCAGTTTGAACGCACAAAACTAAGTAGCCGTAGCTGTTTGTTCGTCCAATTCGCAAGCGAATTTCATAAGATGGCGCATTGGATCGGTCATCGGGTCTTTTTTTCCGAAAAAAGCATTAAAACAACCCTAACTGAGAAGCGAGACACGTTTTAACGTGGGTTAGTGAGGACAGAACCACAATCTGAATGAGGATCGGCAAGTTGCGGTATCCGTTGCAAATGAAACAAGCCGAGTTCCTTATTCTACGGCGGCTTGGAGAGCAGGACGACAAACACTGGAAGGATCAGAAAAACGTGGTCCCTACTACAGCCTTAATGGTAAAGTTTGACTGCGTGCCCAGGCAGGAACTATGGGCAAACGTAGCCTAATCAGCAACTTGGCAAGACCTGCTATCTACCAAAAATGACGAAACCAGCATGCGTGTTTCAGTGTACTTTAGGCAACTGACGCTAGGTCTATGCAGCAAAACATTTGCACACTGTTTTTTTCAGTAATATCAAAACAAACCAGATGTAGGTTATTAAACCTACTTTGAGTGTATTTATTTGCTTCCGACATATCTGCTTCCCAAAATATATTTAGTTCAGAAGTGATGACGTGCCTGTCTTTGTAGTAAATAACGTGTCAAGCCATGACCTACCGTTGTCAACGGCCAAACAGAAGATACGTTTGGATGTAAGCTGTTAGTGGTTTCTGGTTGCGTCGGTTATGCATTTAGTTAGTGAAAGGATCGGAGTTCGGACAAGGACAGATGATTCCAGCTGAGATTTTCAGAATCTAGGTTAGCCTTTGGTTGTTACCATGATCCCGACCAGTTATCAGTGGAATTCACCAGCCTTATGTCGGTAACGTTTACCTCGGTGATGAGAGAAGTGTGCACTCCGGGGCTGTTTTCGCTCCTGGGGAGTCCATAAGATCTGAGTAGGAGTAGAATTCGAAGGTGAGAGAAGCCACTCACTTCATTCTAACCCAGTTCAGTGTTTGTTGAACGCTCCACGGAAGAGCAAATGATATTTTGGCAACTGATGTGATCTGGATCGAGACGAAAGTAGGATCAGTCTTTGTTTTTTTTTGTAGAAGTACATTTTTCTCTCCAGGGAAGGGCGCTACACACCCAACATCAACAGAGTTTAAAGCCAGAATGCTTCTGGAGAA